CGTTTAATTTAATTATAACTTTGTCATTATAAAGTCGCGTAAAAGTTACTTTGTTGTAAGAGCACGCAGGCTGCGCTTTAATTTTCATCAAATTGGGTCCAAATTAACGTGGGCGGATCGCAAAAATAGCCCCGTTCTTGTGGAGCTATTTAGGTGGTTTTAGCGTTGATAAATTAATCAATCAGGTTCCATTTACATCAGTATTTGATGCTGTAATTTTGTTACGGGCCATTGTTATAGATTATAGACAATTAAAGTTACACAATAGCGCTTCTTGAGGGTTTCTATTAGAGCATGCGGCTTGGTGTGGATTGAGGGCTGAGTTAGGATGGACAGTGACACTAGGATTAGCGATGACAGGTTTCACGATTTGGAAGCATCAAGGGTATTGTACTAAGCAAGGTTTGTGTTGTGTGGATATCTCGAGATTTGATGGATTATGGTTTGAGTGCGTAATTTTTAACTTTTTTAATGAGGTCTATGACACATCAATTTGTTGCGGTTTCCTGGTTTATTTTGATAGAGCTTTAATTCTGGTGTGAAATACAACTTACTACTTTTTCCAATTTTTAAAGGAATCTAAAAGAATGCATTAGGGACTAGTTCATACGTTTTGGAGATGTTTTGTCGAAAAATTTTTAAAAAATTACGTTAATTATATGATCATAACATGAAGTCGTGCTCAATTCAGTGATCCTTGTAGAAAACGAGTTGAGAAAAGTTCTACTTTCGAATGATGAAGAACCCAGTGTCCATGATGCCCAAATTTGATTTCAACAAGATAGTGCGCCGCATCATTACGGTCTTTATATTTTGCTCTCTTTGGATAATATTTTCCATCTAGGGACATTGACACTTTAGATTCGGATAGAACATATGCAGTAACTTCTGAATAATTCACACTGTAAACCAAGGTTTTTATTTTTCGTGCATTACGCCTATACACTAACCAAATTTTATAATTTATTAGTGTCATTTAGGCCAGCAATGCTCAAACAACCGCGCTGACAAAGATCCTTGAGATTTACGTAATGTCAGGGTTGGAGCGCGAACAACAAATTAGTCGTCTATCACATATATGACCTTCCATGAACTTACATAAATCTCAGTTAATTAAGTTCATTCAAGAGTAGAAATATAGAATAGTTTTCACACTTATTAGTGATTTCGAGTCTTCCACCTACAGAAAAATTCTATAGATACTTTCCAGATTGTGTGAAAATCATGTGACTTGGTGAACGTCTTTAAAAAAGTCTAATTTTAGTTGTTCCATAATTTTTGTATTTTTTTACAAAATAGTAATTTTTTTATATTTTGACCATCTAGTTTTCTCTTCTTTTAAATTATAGAAAAACAATTATCGACAGCACCACGAGTCTGACGTCATCAATCTAAAATATTCACAGACATTCCAAAAATGCACCCCGTGCAAAAACTAAAAAATGCATTGTTCTCAAATTGCACTCCTGATTTTTTTTTTTTTTTTGTCTAAATTAAACCAAATTTTACGGACATAGTGCTATAGAAGTAATTTAATTAAGTTCACGCCAAGGTCGTCTCACTGATGCTATCTACTCAAATAATAGTTTTACTAAAAAAATGTTCTCTTAAATATGTATGGTGAAAAATAACACTGGCGTGGTGGTAATTTTCTAGAGCAGCATAATCATGCTCAAAGCGATAGACAGAATTTAAAATTTACCATCATATTTTTGTAACTAACAATTCGATTAACACAAAGTGGCCACTATCATATTCTGAATTTCTAAACTGTCAGTGTAGATACAAGTATGAGGCGTTGTTTGAATATTTGAATTGGTAATAACTTAGATAACTGTTTACCATAATGTACTTTGAAAACAAAATCGTTCGAATTTCCATCCTCTGCGTATTGTGCCTCTAGTGTATTAATTAGTTTCCTATATTCTAATGAATTACACTAAATAATAAAATTAAAGGGAGCAGAGCAGGCCATGAGCCCGGATATAGTCAACAATTCTTATTTTAAAATAACTTTGGCCACATATGTCAAGAGAACAATAAAAACACGATCAAAGACAGCTTTGCAGTAATCTGACAAGACCAAAATTCTATCAAAGACAAATGTTCGGAAATCCATGACTTGACCGTGTTTTTATTGTTCTCAAAAAGTTTTTTTTGCGCTGCCATAGTTGTAATTGACATTTTACGTTGACACGTGGCGTGTCGTAATGGCAATGAAAAAGGATCTAGTGCCGCAAAATACAAACGAGGAATTTAAGCTTTGAAAAAATAAATTGATTGTCACAAAGTAATTACTACTAATTGATAATCATGTATCTAAAGTTATTATAACAAAAAGTGGCTTGAAATTTAAAAAAAGTGCAATTTACGTTGTAATCTTAAATAGGGGAATTTGTTGATCAAAATTCAGATTTGTAGTAATTTGACAGTTGACACTATCGGTGGTTTGGTTTATGTTGTTGACAACTATTATGTTATTACTGTTTGTTAGTAGTTCTTGTTAATTAAAAAAAACCGTTTAAACTTGACGTTATTCGCAACCTCACGCTGAATCATAATCATAAGATTCTCTCTGATCTGGAGCCGTATATAAAAATGTTTCCACTGGTAAGTATTTCAGACTTCTTGGGCTTGTGTCATTCTGCCGCTTTAAAAACGCTGTTAATTTATAAAATTTCGAATGATTTATATTATGTTTGATGCCAAGAGTGCTTTTCAGAACTGAATATATTGTCCACAGTGTGGAGGCTTTCATGATTTCCGACTTAATTTGGAAATAAACCAAGAGCGTCGTTTCAGAAAATTCGCGTATTTTATTTTCTTCGCACCACTTGATGAATTTTTGATATTCGGCTTCATATGGACCTGCGGATTTTGCAGGCAACAAATTTGCAGTTGCTTTATCTGCAATTTTCTGAATACGTGCACGATTTTCCATTTCAACTTTGAAATTCAAAATCTAGACCGGACAAATTGACAGATTGGTATTTGACGTATTTGGTAATAAATTCAATACCAACATAATTTCGGTTCAGAAATATTTATTCTTTTAGCGATTGAAAAATGTTATTTTTTCAAAAAGGCAACGCAAAAAATATTGTATGATACTCGTGTGAAAACTCCATTGCATTACGAACGGGAATACGGCGCGAGACGCAGTCGAGCGCTGTATGTAAGTGACCGTTTTCAACACTTGTAACATAAATAACTATTATTTCACGTATTTTGAGTTGATATAGTATAATTATATGTTCAACTAGGATAACTTGTTTGATTACATAGTACACTCCAAACTATGTAAATAGGTTTTTTCTTACATAGTTTATTTATGCGATGCATTTATGAATATGCATTTTTGATATGAATCTCATAATTTGATTCTGTTTTTTAGTTAGAGAGTAAAGTTCATCGACAAACTTGTTTATTTTGCCATGTATTTAAAAACACTAGGAACTTTTTTATTGAAGTTTCACCAACACTGCGCTTAGCTCTGTAAATTCTCGTGAGACCTGAGGCTGTTTTTTCCCTTTTTTAAATGTAACATTTGTACTTCACGATAAAACATAGGTCTACTACACGGTTCTTCCATTCGTCGTTGTGTACATAATTCAGATTTGAAAATTGGCCCCGATCATTGACAATACAACCCTACTGAAATGGCATATCTTCGTCTTCCTGTAAAAGAAAACATAATAATTTCGACGTTTTATATAAATATGTATTCAGTAAAGTTATCAAGTTCTGATGATCTGAGTTTATGATAATTATGTTGTCAACAATAGTTAGGTTTCTGACACAATTTATAACCTTAAATATGTGACGACCTAAATCAACAGAAGGAATGTCAGTCTTTCTCAAGAAACTTTAGCTTATTAATGTTGATTACGAACCAAGTTACTAGATTTCCATGGCTTGCTGCGGTCTAAAAGGGTCGTGAATACATTATAGCAAGGTGACAAAACAAAATTAAATTAAATTCGTCCATAAACTAAGACGTTGCGACTTGTAATTTAATCTTCACTGTATTCTTGTAGCACTGAAGATATTTAAAACCGATATTTTTTCATACACTTACGTTGCAGAAAAAAAAACAGTTTTTATCTTAAATTTTTTATCACACTAACCCTGTTCTTTCGATACTCACGACAAGCACTCGCTTTCGAATTTAGCTCTTTAACATGACCTTTTTTTTCTGCGCTGGTTATTTTGGTGCCTCTATAACAGTCGGTTTGACACATATAGATAATGATAATAATTACTAAAACATATAGACAATGATAATAATTACCAAAACATGTGTAAGGTTTCATGTAATGCACCAGAATTTTAAACTATGACAAGTTCAAACTATGATAAGTTCAAACTTGGTTTACCTACGTTCTGGACTCGTGTTACCTACACGTTAGAATTATAATCGATTCGCCCGTGTGCAAAATTAATACAAAAAAATATATTCAATAAAACGGATTAACTAGCGCATCTCACTTTCAGTAAATATTGTCCTTTCCACTTATTGTAGTGAGAGAATAAATTTACTCTGGTAATCACACTTTTATCTATTGTTATCAAATAAAATTGATGTTTGATTTACAATCGACACAGACGTACAGAATTCCTCTCAATAATTGTGTGTTTGTCATGTGGTGAGCAGTATGATGAACATCAATCGTGGATATTATTACCAAGGTACATACATACTAATTATTTTCGCTGTAAACAAATTACATTGTTATACATTGTACATTGTTTACTCCATGGTCGTTACAACAAACCATAACCTATGCCCACGTAAAACAAATTATGGTACACCATTTTAAGACACTTTTCCAAATCCTTCACATATATTTCAACACCGAAAAAAATTTTCAGAAATTGCTGTCTAACTTAAGTAAACATGTTGAGCTTGCCACGTGTTTGATAACGTCTTCACCTCATAATGCATTATTCATCTCTGTTTGGATACGTTTCAATTTCTGATAAAACTGTTTTTATTGCAGGAGCACATTTGAGGCAGAGATCTCTAGATACCGAAAGGCGGCGGCAGTCCCTAGGCACTATCATTCCTCACAGAGCATCAGACGCTTTTCTCGATCCTTATCACGCCGCTATACTTTTTAGGGATGCACGAGGGGTGAGTAAACCGACTAATCGACCGGCGAAAAGCGCCATTACAGACACCTATTAACCCGTTCGGGAGGTGGCGCCCTCTCTCACTTCAGCATCGAAGCGGCGACCAGCAATGACAATGTAATGCATACCTTCAACTAAGCATTTTTCCGCGTGGAACTCCCACATTGTTGCTGAAACAACAGTGAAAGGGAAATGAACTAGTGTTTACTTATTTTAAAACCGCATGTTTTTGCTGTTTGCTTAGATGTTTGTGTGCATACATAATAAAGGCGCACTATTTAATCGTCTCTTGCTTGGGATTATCTTGGATCCGACTTATTTTTGTTAATAATAGAATGTGGGTTATTTGAGTACGTGACTTTTTTATCATTTACGTTTATTGTGATGTTTTATTGCTTAATTATTTAATTTTCGATTCTTTACAAGTTGGGAGTTTTGGCTATAAAAATATCGATTTGGGTATAATGAGGGTTTTCAAGTACGAGGAAATCTACTAATGACTACCCTTTAAATTTAGTTGCTCATTACGTTTATAAATTTACACTAGATAATGAACCTGAGATACTACTACCTTGTATTTGCCTCGAGGTCTATGTAGAAACATATCGCATAGGATGGATCTTTGTTAATCTTGCTAGTGTACAAACTCTGATATTCGATAATACTGCTTTATATTAATATCCATTAATTTAGGGAACAATTCGGCAAATTAACGAATAAGCAACGGTGACAAAATAAAAATTATGTTATAGATTCAAATATTTTAGAAGTTTGAGGCCCTCGGATTTCAAAAAAAATACTTTTTCAAAATAACAATATTAAAATAATTGTAAGCAAAATATGGAAAGAAGCTGTAAAATGAATTAAGAATTAGTGTCAGTTGCTTTCAATTAAATATATATTAAATAAAAATATTTTCTGCTAGAAATGTTAATGGTTAAAGTTGAACGTTGTACCTACAATTCCTAATATTTAAAATTACACAAGCCTACTTAGATCGCAAATCAATTTCAAAAGAACAGTACTCCATTAGTTAACTTTCTTCGCCCACTTCGTCGTCTTGATAATTACATTCTGTGACTGAAAGTGTGACAAACACGCATGTTGAATAGCATTTCAATATAATGGAGCTTTAGTGGGGGAGTCCCTACGATATAATGCTTCTGCCGAAAATAGGTCAGTGAGTAAATTGAGTTCTCCAGATATATACTAGTTTAGAATTCCATTTGTGTAACAATGGCTAGACGAGGGTTAAAAAATATATCCCAGTCTAAATTGTCTTTTCAGATCTCTGAAGAATATACTAAAGGAAGTAACAGAACAAATGGAATTAATGTTTTGTGCAACTGGGTTGTCATCCCTAAGGAACTTGGATTTATATGATGATTATAACTTTTCAAATTATTTCCGCTGTACTAAAATTGGCAGAAATAGGTATTTGTAGTTTAGTTCGGTAGTAAACTAATTTTAATGACACGCAAAACTCGTATTCAACTTTTAATTTGGTCTCTCATATGTTGACAATATGAGAACAGTTGTTTGTGGGCATGTTAATGCAGTTATAATATTTGTCTGTATGTAGTTTCATAGTAATCAGGCATTGTCTATGTACTGTGTAAAGTTGAAAAACAGGCTTTTGTGCTAACAGTGTTAGCAGTCCTAGAAATTAAATTAGGTGAGTGCTAATGGAACTTTTACATTATAGTTAAAGTTGGGTTTACTGAATGCGATCAAAGTACTCTTTTGTAGGATATTTTTAAACCTCGTAATATTATCCCACGGCTTTATTACATCGATTGATAATTCTGAAAGCAGGCAAATAGACTCGAGTAAATTTATTCATTCAAATCGTGCATAAACCGAGGGCAATAAAAACACGATCAAAGACAGTCATGGATTTTTTAAAGTCTGTCTTTGATCGGTGCATTTGCACATCTTTAAAAATCCATGACTGCCTTTGATCGTGTTTTTATTGCTTGCTATTTATTCATTTTTGTTGAATTTAATCCGTTACAGTTTGATTATTATTTTTAGAAAATGTTAAACGTGTGCCGATATACAATGAGTACTTTTTTGGTTTACGGTCAGGTCAGGTCAGGTCAGGTCAGGTGTTTTTTTTAGTGATGAATTTGTTTGTAGAAGTTTCTCATTTTTAAGCAAAAATGCGGATCTGGAAGAAATTTATGTTCTTATAATTTGTAAACAAATAGGAACGCTAAAACAATTTCCAAATATAAACTGAATGATTTATAGTCAACACCTACATTTGTGAACTACATGTAGGAAGTAAAGCAAATCTGACTTTATCTATACCTGCAATTAGAATTGTAATTGTAAAATATATGAAGTTTTGATTTTTTTTATACCATGACGATTGCTAAAACGTCACATCTTCCCTCTAGGCGGTGATATTTATTCCGCCGGGGAATTAGATTTAGAGTCCCGTTTTCGTCTGTTCGCAATTTTATCACATAGACAATGTCCTAATTTTAAAACCGTCGTCTAACAACGCTAACCAAAATATGTATGATCATCGCCAAAAATTTGATGACGCGAGCTCAAAATTTTAATAAGTTATTCGAACTTAAATTGTGCAAAGTAATATGTCTCTGTACCTGTGATTTATTAATCCACGCCTTATGCATGTACGTTTTCGGAAAAAAAATCAAAATGGTACAACAAAACAAAATTGTACGGTTCAAATTAAAATGACCAAATAGGTGGTTTTGAAATTTTGCAAACTTTGCTTTGTTTATGATAAAAAAAAAATTATAATTTGGGAACAAATGTTTAATGTGGCGCAGAATTTACAAGATTTTTTTCAAAATTGGCAAGACAGTAATATTGATTTATAGATTACACAAAAACGATTAGACAAAAACGACTAAAATTTATTTATTTTTTTCATTCTAGAAAATCAACGACCTTATGGCAAAATTGTATTAAATAAAGGAATGTTAATAGTTGTTTGTATCATAAGGCCGGAAACTAGGCTTTTGCAAATACGAGTGAATTTGTCGGACCCAGTCAACAGGCGAAACCTACAAATAACGAATATATTCTGGGGAGCTATACACAGGATATTTTTGTACTAATTTTTATATAAATAAAAATGTTGTTGATTATATTGTTTTTGGGAGTACATATATGAAAACTAATCTTACTTTTTACTTTAGAGTTGTTTTGCTTAACTAAATATACAGAAACATGGATAGCGAAAAATGTTGTCTAAAACGATACTGTTGGTATTAATGACAAAATAAATTCAAAGTGCCAAAATTTCAAATTTTTTTGAAATGTCACTCAGAATGACAATAAGGGGTGATTTACAATGATGATTTTTAAAATGACAGCTTGTCGTTTGTGGTGAAAAGATCTTTTTTTTATATTCCTCATATATAAACACGTTCACAAAATCATTTTACTTCCTGAGCGTAAGTTGAAGAATATGTTAATAGGGTCCATCCGATGAATGTTTTTTCGAAGTTTCATGAACTCAAGAGTAGGGCAAAGTAGATCTCCCGTTTCCGTTTGTCTATCTGTCTGTCAATTTATATTAAACACACTAAACAAAACTTATTTTGATTATCGCTGCCAACAATGGGACCCAAATTTTACAATAGCAAATGTTTTAAATTTTAGAAAATAACATACTCTTACACTTGTTGTTTATGAAGCCGTCTTGATTTTTTATCATAGTCATTCAAATTTTTGAAAAAAAAAAATCAAAATTGTATAACAATGTTTTACAATTTAACTTTCAAACTGCAAAACCGAATGCTCGGAAATCTTGCAAACGTTTTAAGGCTATCGTTTATGTCCTTTCTCAAAAAATTATGACGGCATCTTGAGTTTAAATTTTATAAAATAATATTCTCCTGTATGTGTGATTTATGAGTCCGTATCACAATTGTATAACATTTTACAATTTAATCTTAAAATTACAAAACCGGAAGCTTGGAAATCTTGCAAACGTATTAAGGAAGCGTGGTAATGCATTTATCAAAATTTATCCTTTTTTGGCTCTCCCAAAAATTGATGGCGTCTTTGTTCAATTTTGTCGAACATGTTATTTAAATTTTACAAAATAATATATTCTTGCACTTGTAGTTTATGAATCCTTGTTAAGTTTTTACCCTAGACATCAGATTTTTGAAAAAAAAAAATCAAAATTATATGACAACATTTTACAATTAACTTTGCAAAATCAAGTACTTTCCAAACATTTAAAGGGTATCGGAAGCACGGTAAAAGAAAATTTGTCCGATTATGGCGCCAAAAATTGATGGGGTCATCTTACAATTTGGTCAAAAAATGTTACTTAATTTTATAATATAACACACTTCTGCATTTGCAGTTTATTGTGTTCAGTTTTTACCCTAACCGTTCAAATTTTTGGAAAAACAATCAAGATTATGTAACAATATTTCACAATTTATCTTTGGAATAGAAAAAACGAATGCTTCAAGATTTCCTAAACGTTTACTTCATCTCCAAATTTTGCTCTAAATCTAAAATGAGTTTGTACCGCGAAAATTGTGGTTTATCAGTGCATTCATATCATTTGCTTCATAGAGGTTATCGCAAGAAATTGGTCAAAGTTTGTTTTGATAGAACTTCCCTCGTTCCTGAAGTACAAGTCCAACAAATCTCGCTTCTTTGGAAAATTATAAAATTAGATTTTGAAATATTTGTAACCTCTATAAAGTAAAAACCAGCGGCATAAGTAACATGGGGGCGCAAATGGCAACGGATTGTGCAAATTTCACAATTACTGACACTGTAAAATATAATTAAAATTGATAACCAACGGGACAAATGGCCTCTCAGAAATAATAATAAGCTTTAACTTCAAGTGTTTATTTACACATCGAAAGAATGTCACGTAGAAATTTGTTTGATTTGAATAAGTTTGTTGCCTCAAAGAGAAGACTAAAATTATTAATTAAGCCACAGTCGAACAGAATGATTTGAATATTATTGTTATGCCGTCATAAACAT